TCAGAAGTTTTCCTAGAAATGTGCTTAGGAAGTAAAAATATTTACACTACTTAAAACTAATAGATTTTAGAAGAGAAGGCTAAAGGTCAGACTAAATAAATAAACTTTAATTAGTGAAAAAATTCTTCGTGTGTTATTTCCGAGAACTTTTAAAGATTGAAAGTCGTGATTATCTCAATTTATCCATTCGATTATTTGCCGAATTTCCCTGGCTGTATAGCTTTTGTTTTCTTTTTAATTCAGTTTTCAATTCAGATAAAGCACCTTTATTTGTGCCTAATTTCTATTTTATTAACATGTGTGAAGATGATGTTGTCCTGGTTAGGGTCTGTGACGTTATTCGAAAATGAGGGCCAAGCAAATAAAACTCCATTGCAAATTTTGGCGGAAAATGTACTTGACCCTTGACTTGAAATGATTCATGAATAATGTTAATCTAATTTTCTGGAATTTTTTTTGGAGAATTTTTGCATTTAATTGAAGTAAGTTTTGTAGTGTGGTTTTTGAATCACTTTTCATGTTTTGGGTTGTAATTTTAAACATTTTTAGTTCCCCAAGGGCTGTAAGTACTGTGAGGTTTGATCAATTCCCGTCTTTTTGAAGTTTCATATTTTATCACCTCTTTCTTGGCATTTTCCCTTGTCTGAGCTATATAGTTCTTCTTAATTTTATTTGGAATACTTCATTCTTCATTTATGCCTAGAATTTCCAAACTTTGATATATTCTTTTGACTTATTGAATGTGATAATATTTCTGTATAATTGGGAATACTTCCTCATTTACGATTAGAATTTTCAAACTTAATATATTCGGCTATTGAATGATAACGTTTCTAGTAGAGTTGGGAATACTTAATTCTTCATTTACGATTACATTTATCTTACTTTTTATATTCTCTTAGAGATTCTTGTACAATTCATTCTTCACAGTTCTTGATCTATTCAATATTGCTATATGCATGGGGCTATTGAATTTGACCATTCTTGTAGTATTTCAACTAATTGTTTATATATTCCCGTGCATTATTAAACATCGTAGCACATCCTTGAGTTTATCTCATCCGTTCTCGAATGTTCACAGTTAAGTTGAAATTCCGCTTTGTTGGCATTTCATTTTTATTTTGTTTTTATATTTCTAATTTATTTTCTAATTATACTGTTTCGATAGCAAATTCATGTAATTCAAGAAGGATCTACTCTTTGAGTGAGCGTTTTAGAGTCTAGTATATGAGACAGTAATACAAACCCTAATCTTAATCGTGGATTACACCTCCAATATCCCTTCCTCCTAGCAGACCTTAATTTAATATCTCATAGTAACATTCTTTCAAATTTACAAACTGCATATCAACATTGCGTTCGTTTTTTCCCCTTTTACTTGATTTTCCAAATGGCACAATACATCAAGTATATTTAGAAATATTGAAGGATGACATAGCGATAAAAGCTTGGAGCAAATAGATTTTATGCATATAAAGACAAGCCAAGCTAATATTATCTGCTAATTATTTTGATTCCGCCAGAGAACTGGCCAACATGAAAGCCAGCCTGGTTACGTTCCAACTCAAGCATCTCTTTACTCTAAAAAGATCTCCCCCAGATTTTTACTTCACGATATCCCGACAGATATATCACTTGCCGATCTTGGAAAGGAATTGGAAGAAGAAAATAATTTCTCTGTTACAGAAATTAAACGATTTGTTGGAAAACGAGCGACGCCTATCCTTTCAACTCTCGTATTAGTCACAATTTTAAGAACAATTTTGCCTGAATATGTAACATTATAGCTAACACAATTAAAAAGTATTAAATGTTTTATGATAATCCCCGTCAATACAAAAAAATATCATCCCTACACTTATTCAACTCCAAGTTGTAAAAATTCAGCTATCTGTGAATATTGCAGTACTCAATATTCTTTGGAATTGTATTTTGGAATTTTGGACTCCAAAATGCGTCAATTGCAGTGGGGAACATGAAGTCACTGAGCTCAATTGTCCTAAATTTAAAGCTGAAGAAATGTTTCTAAAATTTACAACTTTCTTTTATTGAAGCTCGGTTTGATGTGGTTTGTCATTCTATGGTCAATTTTTTGCACACTTTAGGATAATTAGACCGGGACCTACAATTTAACATGGATTCCGAACCATATTGAATCGTGGTGATAATATTGTAATCTGGAGGAAGACTCTTTTTTTTCTCTAAAGTAAAAGTTTATACTACTTTCCATTACATTACAAAGTTGAAATTATTAAATTCTTTGACAAATAAGCTATGAAAACTCAACAATTTCTGAAATCAGCAATTATTGAAATCTGTCATTCATAGCTCTCCATTTTTCAAAAATTCTTTAAAACGTTTTCTGAAAATATAACTGCTGTTATATTTTCAGAAAACGTTCTTTAGTGAAGCAATAAGAAACTCTCTTCCTCTCCAGATACAATTTCAATTCTTCAATTAAAAATAGATAAAAATAATAAACAAATAGTAGTAATTTTTCATTAAAAAAAAAAAATCATTGTCTTACAAGCCGTAATTAGTACAGCGACAAAATTAACAGATTATAGTAACACGTTTCACGAAGCCACTGACTTTAATTGTAGTAGATTCCAGTATTCCTAGTAGAGGTTTTAATCTTGTCAATAGTTCTCATTTAGATAATGAAATACAAACTATTACACTACATATTCCGCATAAAACTTTTCCAATAGTCAATATTTATTCTCCCGGGGCCTTTTCAAAACTGAATGACTGGAAGCAATTTATCAACAATTTCCATCTACTTGCATTATTCTCGTGGATTTTAATTCTCACCATCCAATTCTTGGATGATCCATTTCTAGTTCTGAAACTCTGTCAACTGAATTCTTAATAATAATTTAAATCTTATTAACACCAACACTCATATTACTCCAACTTCTGCATCGATTATTGATCTCTCCATTGGTAATGCAGATATTTACCTAATTTATCTTACTTTATTCTCTCTGACCCTTTTGAAAATGATCACCTTCTCAATAAAATTTCGCTCTGACTGTTGCATCATATTCCAACTTAAAATCTTTCTTGTCTAATGCTCTATTTAATAATAAGAAAAATTAGGAAATCTCTCACCCCTGGCATACACATTGCAATAACCTTTTACGATAGAAACGCAAACTTTGCTTCAGGGTCGATCTCAACTTACACGCGACCACTGGATTTCTTACAAGAAAATTTCTGTCAAACTTCTTGTTACATTTCTGAGCTTTAGACACTTTATTGGTAGTATATTTGTATTTCTACCGGCTATAATGGCAATATTTATAATTTTATAAAACGATTCATAATAAAGACAGTAATCTGGTTAGTAATAAGATCTTCCACGCAAGTACTAATTTAATTAGTACAGATCAGACTCAACAGAAAGCTAATATGTTAGCATCTCATTTCAATTAACTCATCGACCATAAGTTTATTGCATTTGATCTTTTGGATGATACCAATCATTATAATGGACCGATTATAATATGCGTTTTACTTTTAGCAAACTTCAAGATGCTATAAGTTCATAGAAAACATTTCTACTGGAAGTGATAATATTCCTGCAAAAATAATTAAAATTCTTCTTAGACAATATCTCGAACAGATTCTTCATATGTTTATTAGTATTTAGTTCATCCGTTTTGTTTCACAAGTTTGGTTAATAGCAGAACTCATTCTCATTCTTAAACCTAGTACCTTACCTCATATCTTTAAATATAATTGAGTTTCAATTTTATCAAAATCTTTGAACGTATTGTATCAAGAGGATAATTCATTTTACAATTCGAACTAATTCCATCCTTATCACACTGGTTTTATTACTATTAGGGTTTTGCATTTATACGTTATCCTTCATCACAAAATAGTCGAAGCAAAAAATGCCAAACATTTTTTTTTCTTAATTAGACATTTCTGTTGCTTATGAATTGATATGGATTATTTATAAAATCTAACAGATCGTCATACAATTCACTACTGCAAAATGGATTTATAATTTCATCAACAACAGGAATTTTTATGTTAAATGGAGAAACGATGAGGTGAACTATCGGTGAGTCGATGAAATTATTTTCCAATCGTGCCATTCAGCAGGACAATGTTCTCAGTGCCCATTATTTTACAATCTATATGAGAGATAATTTCGACATCCTCCCTGTTCATTCGTAATGCTTATTATATGCAGATGATATCTTCCATTTTAGCAGTGATAAAGTCTTGAAAAAGTTATTGTTAATCTTCAAATAACCCTTCATAAACACACTCAATGGTAAAAAACATGGAAATTCGCCTTTGAACCTGATAAATGCTAAGCGGTGAATTTTTTCAATAAAAAACAATAGCCATCTAAACATTTAAAACTTTAGAATATTCATATCCCTTCGAAACAACATACCATTATTCTAGGAATCATCTTCTGTAAAAATCTCTCTTTCAAATAACACTTCCCATATCTTAAAAAGAAAAACATTAAAAAGTTGAATGTACTTAAAGTAATTGCTGCTAATTCTTGGAGTTTTAGCACCTGGTATATAATTCAAATAGCAAATTCCACAATTTTTACCTTACTGGAATATGGATCTCTTATCTTTATCTCATCAAGCCATTGTGACTTCCAAACATTAAACACTTTATAACATTTTGCTTTACATTTTGTAACAGATCATTCAAAATGGAATCCTATCCCATTCTACTAAAATAAGCTGGCCAATCCTTTTGTTTCAGAAGCAGTATATGATGGCAGAGAGGGTTTTTCTGAAACGTATTTTATTATTTCTCTTCTCCTTTTTCCATTTATCTTAGCTCAGAAAATCAAACTTCAATGTCGAAATGCCCAAATGCCTTTAATTTTTGCAAACCTCCTAGAAAACTTAAATAATCCACCATCAAAATTAATTCCAAATTGTCCTCCTGCTAGTCGGAATTTTTATAATCACATTTCATCATGATTCTTTACTGTTTCAGACCAAACAGCCAGCTGGCCGTACCATATTGAATATACCGGTTCTCGTTAGATCACCGAGAGTTAAAGCATCATTGGACGCGGTCAGTACTTCGGGTGGGTGACCACCTGGGAACACTGCATTGCCGTTGGCAAACCCCGGGACCTGAATGGCCGAGTGTCTGGCGCTCTGGCGCTCGGTGCCACAGGTTTCGAGGTTCAGATCCCGGCGGTGCCATGGATGTTTACTTGTGGTTCCGAATCCACTTTAAGCCGTAGGTCCCGGTCTTCTATGACTGTAAGAGCGTCACGGAGCAAAAGTCAGGCTTCTACCTACGGGTGCTCCATCACAACAGAAGCTGCTTCCTTCCTTCAATCATGAGTCCATATTTGGCCAGCCAAGTGGGATAAGAAACAACAACAACAACAGACCAAACAGATACCAAATCATGTCATCAAACACCTTTTTGAATATTTCAAAAGCAGTTTATTTTAGTTTCTGACACATGTAAGAGAGGTTTTTAAATATTCACCAGCACTTATTAATCACTTTTCTCAAAAGTCTTCATCAGGACAGATTTCAAATTACAACACTATTTTCACAACTGGAGTCCTTCTCTCCTTTAACCCTTTCTATTTATGTTCTTTCCCCTCATAAATATATGTCTCTCAGTTCTTCAGGCATTACAGCATTGCAATATCCATTCCAATCTTGTCATTCAGTTCCTTGACAATCATCTTCAAAATATTAGCAATACCACTTTATCTATCGAACTCATCTGGTCCCTAGGGCACGTTGATATTACAAAGAATGAACAGATAGATTCTCTCGCAAAATCTGCAAACGACACAATAATATTTCATTGGAAATCTACGGGAGACCTTATATTTTAAGGAAAAAATACAGCACAGGTAACATCAATAGAACAGTAGACAGGAAGGAAAATACACGCAGAAATTCAGACAATTGATATTATTAAACCTTTTCACAGATTTTTCCCTACTCATCGAAAAGAACACATTCTTCTGTCCAGGTTTCCCACAAAGACATACTCTTTCTAACTCTAAATTTCAGATTTGGCCTGATTTCATCTCATTATGACCATTCTGCAAAAACTTCGAAAAAAAGTTGAACTCAAGTTGTTTCAATACGCCAAATATTTCGAAACAAAAATTACAAGGGGTTGTTTCGGATACCTTAAAGTTCTTTTCTTATTCTTGGATATTTGATTTGTCTGAGAATGCATGTTATAAGTCTGCATTGATATTTCAATTTCTACGAAAAGCTCCCAACTCTCGTTACCCTGAAAAAGCTTCAAGGATACCCTTACGGTTTTTTTTCTAGGAAATATTATCTTTTATGCATTTTTATTCCTAGTAATGTTGTAGTTCTTATTTTCTTATGGTTCTACTGTTAAAATATTCGTGTTTTTGCCCATCTTATTTATTCCCTTTCTTTGACGAAGAGTACATGCAACGATACTTTCCTTTTAAAAATTGAATTGGTGTTTAAACATAATCAAAAATTTTCGAGTTTTAAAAAGATGGCTTACTGTGCCCAAAAAGTAAGACCAATTAGTTTTTTTTCAAAAACTCTTATTTATTCTTCCAAATTTATTTCATTGCCTTCAAAATAATCCTCCGACGTAATGCACATATGCCAACATTTCCAATCCTCATGCATGCTAAAAAGTCATTTGGCGGGATGGCCTTCAAAGTGAGCGCCGATTCATGTTGAATTCTTCAATTGACTCGAAACGGTGTCCCGGAGTTTAGGAATACAGGGATCTTTGGAGTTTGTGTGAATAGCCAGACCTTTTGAGTTTAGGAATAGCCAGAAGACGCACAATGTGAACATGGTTGTTGTGAAACGATATGGGTTTAATTTTGGTGAAAAAGTCGCGAAGAACACAATGGTATGAGCTGGCGCATTCAGTGCTTCAAAATCACCAAGATTTGACGCGTTTGAGGCCCAAATGGAACTGACCGATCCTTTTGAAATTCCAAAATCCCAGCGGTCTCTAATTGAAATCGACGGTTTGGCAAGCCCCAAATCTTTAATTTTTTGACATGAGCTTCCTAAGTTTAGGTTGATGGTCAGACTAGAGGGTTCCGGTCTTCAACGCGTTCTCTGCCTTCTTTGAATCAAAACATTTTTTTCCGATATAGAATGACTTCTGCAACGTTCTATACGTTTCACAAAAAAAAAAAATAATAATACACGTTCTTTGCTTAATTAATGCAGACATTTCAAAAAATCGCCGAGCGTCTCACAAAGCCAAGCTTCAAACTTCAACCACTAATGAATATTTTGACGTGGAATTCCATACAGATGTCAGGACGGTGCCAACAACCTAAAAAAGGAAAAAAAATGAAATTTCATAAGCCCTGAATTTTAAATTGAAAATTGTCTTTACATTTTGGACACAGTATGAAAATGCTTTACTTTCACCCTTGTTCCATTCTTTTATGTTATATTTAACAGCAATTTCATAAATTGAGATAATGCAGCATGAGCAAGTATAAATCTTAAAGTTCCGAAACAATACAATATAAGACAATACTTAGTAGTAGGTTGAAACAGTTCTTATACCATACATTTAAAATAAATATAATTTTCTCGAAGAAGTATAAGCTCTTGTTTAATACTGAATAATATATAATTTTTTCTTTAAATTAATATGTTCTTAAAATACGTAAGTCTTTTAAGAACGAAATTTAAGAAGAACTAAAATACTTTTTTTCAGATTTTAATTATTCTTAAAAGAAGACCAAGCCTTTTAGTTCTTAGACTCAATTTTTATATTTTTTGCAGTTAACAAATTCTATTCTTTTCGCTGCTATTTAAAGAATTTGCTGCAGTGAAAACAAATAATTGGGAATTTTAACAACTGAACATTGTATAATAAAAAATATTGTTAATATGAATTATGAAAGCAAAAGATTAAAAAATATATTATTTTCGTAAAAACTTATTATTAGAAAAAAAAATTGTAGTGAATTTGGAATTAATTAAAAACTTTTTAAACATTAAAAATATAATACTTTTTTTAGTTAAACACCTAGAGCGTAACAAAATAGGAATTAAAATTTCTAGGAATGAATTTTCATTGATTGGAGATTTCTGATCTACACTGTTGCCATGCACTCATCCTGAATTAGGCCACACTTGAATTTTGATGCCATAAAAGAAAAAAAAAACTTTATAAATTTTAAAAACTCTTTCCTTATTACATTCATTATTCATTTTATATGCTTATTTAATGATCAAAGCAAAACCCCATTAAAAATTTTTTTTTTTTCAGGATTTGCAATTTTAAGGTTCAGGATGCAAATTTTAATGATAGGACATTAATTTAGAATAAATAACTAAAATTTAGATCATATGTTAAAAACTTAGTATGTCATCAGCAAACTTGAAAATTATCTTAACACGAATTTCATATGAAAGAATAACAAATTATTGTTATCCTTATTATTAAAAAGAAGTACTTTTTTTTTGGAAATTGAAATTTCAGCTAGCACTAATGTGTTATTCTTTCATATGAAATATCCTCATTTGACTTTTTAATTCTAGATTATTATGTTTTCGAATTTCCTTATTAAAACTGAAAATGTTCTAAAATTTAAAGTTATACAAATTCTTACAACAAAGAATTAACTTATTTTTATTAAGAAATTAAATTTTTATCCACTTTATGTAACAAAATTGCAATTCTGCGCAATTCTAAGGAAGATATAATTTTTTCAAGCCACCTTGAAAGTCTAATTAAGAGCATAAGTATGTCTGTTATACTAGTTGAAATTAAATTAGTACATTTATCGATCAAAAGGTGTTTTTCAATGAACATCGTAAAAATATTTCAATTTAACTGCAATGTAAGGAATTGTAAGATTATATATTCTTCGATTGACCGTAGGATACTAATAAATTCGCATTTATAAATTTCACTAATTCGATTGCAAAGTATAATTACCTGTTAAAATTTTAAATAAAGAAAAATTATTGGCAAGTTTGCAGTAAAACTCCTTTTGGTACGTTTAATTGATATCTTCTTATATACGAATTTGTAACAGACATTTGTCATGAGTTACTAGTTAATTCTGAACATGAATTTATTTATTTATCATATTCACTTTTTAATTTGAATGTTGACCTTATGGGGCTGATCATCGTTTCAATTTATATTAAAATACTAATAAATAAGGAAAAGCAATTAGCAAAACTAGCAACAAAACTCCATTCCGCAACGCGGCCTGGTGGCCAAGTGGCTAGCGCTCTGGCTTTTGGTATCACATGCTTCATGTTCGAATAGTAGCGGTAGCGCAAATGGAATACATTTTAAACTTTAGTGAAAATTATTATTATTTCTGTTTCGCCCTCGTGGGCACAAGATGACCATAGAGCGACAAGCCCAGCATTTTTGGTACATTTAATGAATATATGCTTGGATGAGAATATGTAACACAGATCTGTCCTGTGTTTTAGAGTGACTAACTAATTATCAAAATGATTTTATTTATTTATATTCCCTTATTTTTTAATTTGAATGTTTATTTTATGATGTGGACCATAGTTTTCCATTTATATTAAAACACCATTTTATTTAATATTATACACTGAAGTGACAAAAGTCATGGAATAGCAATATGCAAATTTTCAGATGGCAGTAGCATCGCGTAGAAAAGGTATAAATGCGCAGTGCTTTCGCAGAGCTTTCATTTCTATTCAAGTTATTCATGTGAAGAGGTTTTGACGTGATGATGACCGCACGACGGGAATTAACAGACTTTGAACGCGGAATGATAGTTGGAGCTAGAAGCATGGGTCAGGCCATTTCGGAAATCGTTAGGGAATTCAACATTCCCAGATCCACTGTGTCAAGAGTGTGCCGAGAGTATGAAATTTCAGGCATAACATCCCACCATGGACAGCGCAGTTGTCGACCGCCTGCACTTAACGACCGAGACCGGCGACGTCTGCAAAGAGTCGTAAATTCTAACAGACAAGCAACACTGCGTCAAATAACCGCAGAAATCAATGTGGGACGTACAAGGGACTTGTCTGTTAGAACTGTGCGGAGAAATTTGGCTTTCTTGGGCTATTCCAGCAGAAGACCGACTCGAGTGCCTTTACTGACAGAACGACA